TAATAGTGACAGTTGTGTCTTTTTTTAGCTACTGTCTTGGTATATACAGGAGGTACTTCTACTACACCCTTTACAAGCCAAAGGACACAGAACATGGAAATATATATTTGATTAACAATATATCCTATACTCCTGAATAAAGTATTATTTTATAGATAAATACAAGTTTTTTTAAAAACTTTTTCTACTGTTTCAAATTTAATATTACTTACAGTAGTTTTTTACTGCTTTGAAAGATATTTGCTTGAATATTGCTTTCCATTCTCAAAGTCTTCTCTTTTAATGATGGAATATTGATGTTTTTTGTATTAGATTAATATCTAGAGAAGCTGGGGAGGATACTATCCCATTAATTTGGTGTTTTCCAGATTTTTTCGCAAGGTAGGCAATAGTCAATTTTGTAGAATTTGAATGGACACTGACATAAATATCCTCTTTAGCTTAAAGATGGTAATAATAGCTTGTTACCAGTATTACTCAAAAACATATTGTCTAGGAACTTACAATATTCATTCACATTTATCTTGATACCATCATCAAACCTGAAGGCACCTATAATTTTACTATGTTCAATATTAGCCCAAAACATTACACCATCTCTACTATCTTCTTTAAGTCCTCCTGCCATATATCTCAATATTCTTGACATATATCAGAAAATTCTTGTCAAAATTCAAAAGGGTCTGTAATGTGGTCCATCTTTACCTGGCAGCTTGACTTCAGTCACTTTCTCACAGAAATGATATGGCTTCTCTCTATCTTTTCTGCAAGTATTTTTGTGGCAACAGTTCTGATGAAGTCTTTTCTCTCGTGCTTCGACTATATAAATTTAAGCATGCTGCTAGACTGGCAACTAGGTCTCACTGTTTTACTGTTGAACTAACTAAATGTAGTCACCACTTCTATTCTAATAATTTTTTTCCCTGCATTTCTCACCTGTGTAACTTTATTCATATAATCTTCAAAAATTTAGATGCAACACGAATCACCATCTTCTAACTGAAACCTGTTCCTTTATTGTCATTTCCTCACTTCTTCTCACTAAATTCTTCTCATTCTCTTTCACTCCCAGTAACCTCCTCTGTCTTAGTGACATTCTCCACTTGCTTGGGGTGAAACAATTTAAAATAAAAAATAAAAAACTGTGTTGGTTGACTATTTCCATCAAGGACCCAACCTCTAGCCCAGAAATCAGATGTTCATCACTATCTTCATCACTAAAAATTACTGATGAGAAATCAGTTTTCATGTACTTCTTCACCCAAATTATATATTTCCTCTTATGATGTTTACTTAAAGATGATAGTTTGATTATAAATAATGGCTAAATTGATTAATTTGAAAGTAGTAGAACAATACAAGATATGCAGATGACATTGTCTTAATGGCAAACTTAGAAAGAAAGTGAAAGAACTATTAGACAAGGTAGTAAAGGAAAGCAAGAAGAAAGGACTATTAACTCTAAGAAAACTGAATGCTTGGTTGTCAGCAAAAGAGACTAAGATGTACTGGAGACATCAAAATCCAGTAGAAACAAATATTTAACTATCTGGGTTGTGTTTAACAGAGAACAGAAAATGTGACACAAAGATGTATGAAAATACCAAAAGATGCTTTTCAGAAACTAAGTGAAATATTAAAAGATAGGAAAATATCCTTATCAACAAATAAAACTGTGCTAAATTTCTATGTGGTTCTAATGATGAATGCTGAGATTATCATGGACAAATAATAGCAAGGAAGTTTTAAGAAGAATAGGAAGTAGAAAGAAACTTATACTTACAATCAGAAAGAGACAGCTGAAATTTTTGAGACACAGAACAAGGAAAGAGAGCTTGAAGAATTTAACACACTCAGGACATATTTAAAGAAAGAGAAGCAAGAAAAAAAGACATATTTAAGTAACAAGTTTAGCTGAATGGATGGAGGGACACTAACAATGCCAAAGACATTAAATGGATGAAAGAAAGAAAAAAAGATAAATTCACAAACCAACACTTTAATCCATTAGGCTATAAGTATTAGTTCATGAATCTTGTGACAGAGTAATTGTAAGTTTAATCCCTGGGATGGGCAGTGTATACTTGAATTCAGTGTAAATGGAGTAAGCAATAACTGAACAGTGATAAATAAGAACTAGACAAGTTATCTCTTGACAAAGTACCAAGAACAATCTACCCCTGTAGATTAAATAATTGTTTCAGTTCAAAATTCCTTTTATATTACCCAGATCAATAGACACCTGATGAAGGCCAAAGGATACAATGGCTGAAACGCTCTGATAGCAACAACAAAGATGAAGACAATAGTCTGCATGTAAATAATGTAAATAATCCTATTTTATTTTCTCCTCCTCCAGAAATAGATCTACTTTGCTATTGCAAAAATGACTCAAATGAAGCAACAGAGTGGTAGAGTAGTGGTAAAGTCAGTGGTCAATAATATGTAAAAACAAAATCTTTCATATATATACTAGGTCTGAATATAGTCAAGCCTAGTATATAACAATAATCATTATTTCATTTGGAATTTGCTATATTATTAAATATGTGTGTGTGTGTGTGTGTGTGTGTGTGTGTGTGTGTGTGTGTGTGCATGGAGGCATGGTGGAGTAATGGATAGTGCCTCAGATTGAGAAATTGGAGAGCCAAGTTTGAATTCCAGTCAAGTTCATTACATTCATTTACATGCTAGTACCTTAAAAAAAACTATGAATCCATCTCTACCCCCAGCTATGGGTAAATAACAAGACAGATTTGCTTTTATAGCCTTAAGTGGCAAATGGTCTAGGAGAACAACTCTGAATTCAAAACCTGTGGAGGGTCATTCGAGGATCTTGTGACATACTGTGCACCTTTTCTTGGCTATTCCTAAAACTGTGGTTGGTTCTTGACAAGCCTTCACTACTATAAGCAAATGATATGTGCAGGTAGTCTGGCTGTTGGTTCTAAGAACTGAGCTGCTTGACCCTCATATGACCAAAAATGACGTGAAAGACCAGTAGATATATATATATATTATAGCTGGCCACTTGTATTCTAGGATACCCATCTACTAGGGTGGCTAACCAATCCTTATTGCAGACGTTCACTCAGGCACATTTGTGTTGGCTCAACACCCACAGAGCTTATACTGCAACTATGCTTATTTCCAGTTTCTGGGAGAAAGCATGTTATCTAACGTGATCAACAATTTGAACAAGGCTAGCACACTCAAGCCCTCACCCACAATGACTTATGACTTTGTGCTAGCACAGCTATCGACGGCACCCAAGTGTTCTGTCTACCCAATTTCACTCACAGGGCCTGGGTCAACTCGTGGTATGGTTTTCAGGCACTTTCCAAAGGTACTGCATGCTGTGATCACCTCCCTCCAGACCAATAACATCAGGAAATCTCCTTCCTGACAAATCAAGGTCTTGAGAATTCAAAACTCATCTCTGAAAAGCAAACATTCTAAACATTCCTTCCATGCATATATATATATATATATATATATATACGTGTGCATGTGTGTGTTAACATTAGAGTGAATTAAAGTTTTCATGTATTTGATTAATACATTATATCCTTGATACTGTAGATTATATAAACTTCTAGTCAATATAAAATGTAATGAAATATTTGAAATCTGTTAAAGAGATAGAACAAATTTATTAATAACGCAATAAAATATTATTCCAAGAAGGTTCACACTTTATGAGTAACAACATTAAAAAAAGAAACTCAATTACACCCTTAGAAATATTTAATTCTTAATTTAATTATCCAGAATTAAAATGATTCTTTCATCAATAGATGTCAGCAACATACCAAGAACATTATTAAAAAAAAAAAACAAGAATGAAAAAAATACACTTATTTATTTGAAGCAAACTTCAAAATAGTTTGCCATTAATATAACTGGTTTTGTTTATAACATAAAAGGCTTTGCCATAAATTTGTCCCACATTAATAATTTAATTTGCTTTTTACTTAAAAATTGCAGTTAGCTTTTAATGCAAAATTATGAAATGAAACTATTACTTTTTGCTTGTTTTAATTCTTGCTATATATTTATTTTTTATATAAGCTAAAACTTTCTAAAAAAAAAATCTGGAAAGTTTTTTTTTTTTTATCATTTAAGAATGAGAGGGACAAACCACCATTATGAATATTATTATTATTTCCCTTAAAATTCCTGTGGTGGACCGGCTCTCTAAGAATGTTCCTGAGAACTACAAATGGTCTCTGTCAATTACACTGCAAAGTAAGGGAAACATCTTACATGAATGAACAAATTGTTATTAATGATGCAAAAGTTAAAAAATAAAGAAGAAAAACAGGAAAAAGAATATCATTTTATTTTTTACTTTTTTTAATCTTTTAATGGGATTAACCTTCTTGGCTGTTTTCCAATAATATGTGTTGTTAAGCAAAGAAAAGGAGAAACCCAAAAATAAAAATAAAACTAACCTAATCCCTGAAGTCCACACACAAAAGCATAATGCATGAAATCTTAACAAAACTTGACATTAAAAAAAAAAAATGTAATGGTCCTTAGAATATAAAAAGTGGTGGGGAATGAAAGAAAACAATTATTTTTAAATAATAAAATATTTTCATAAAATTCAGATAAAAATTTCCAAAAAACCACAACACCATGTTTGATTAGTGTTAAAGCATTACTTTTTCATGTTTTATTAACCTTTTTGGTCTTTTATGCAAAAGCTCATGGGGTATCTCTTGTCAAGCTTTGTTACTAATGCAATTCTGGAAGGGTCCGTGGAAGCATTCTAAACATCATGTTGAATTTTAAAAATTCATTACAATGGCGGAAGGAGGTGGAACAGAGAAGCTGGAAGTGAGAGAGGAAAAAAAATGAACTTTTATTTTTATATTGGATTTTTCTTTTTAAATTTTATTTGAAACACTTTTTTCTTTTCAGCCTGTCTCTCTGTATAATAGCATTTCTTTCAAGCTGAAAAATCTATTTACTGATCTGGAATAAACATGACACATTCATGAATATGAGCCAACGAGATTTAATGACCATTTTTCATGGAGCATCGGGTAGGGATGGAGGGAAGTGGAAGAGAAAGATTCAGAAGATTTTTTTTTAAAAATGGCAAAAATAAAGGTGAGAAAGAAGGAAGGAAAAAGACTGAAAGATTGGAGAGTAGAAAAAAGTAAGTTAAAATTGTGATAGAAAAGATAATGAATATAGACAGATAGATAATGAAGAAAGATAATGAATGGAGATAGGTAGATAGGCATATAATATATATATATATATATATATATATATATATAAGGAATGCAAATAGATAATGAAAAGAAATAAACAAATAATAAAGATAGAAAGATAGATAAAATAATGAATGGATAGAGATAATGAATGTGAATAGATAGATAATGGAGAAAAATTTAAATGCAATGTCAATAGCTATGTACTGTACTCCTGTTTAACCTTTTTGTTCTTGTTCGTTAGTAATGTTTTGTTTCTAATCCTTACATAATTCTCCCAGTAACCCCTTGTGTCTTAGTAGCTTAACTGTCTTGTATGGGGTGAACTTGATAATTGATAGATAGATAGATAGATAGATAGATAGATAGATAATGAAAGGAGTTAGATAGCTAGATAATGAATGGCAATAGATACATAAAATCATAAATGGTGATAGATAATAAATAGACTTAGATAATGATTTCAGATGAAACTAGCAGCCATACCCAGCTGGTAGATCTGAAAAAGAGTTCAATTAGAATGGAGCAAAAACAGCACCACGCTTAGCTGTAACAGAGTCTATCTTCTTCAATTACTTTAAAGTACTTTCATTAAAAAACATTTTGAATTAATGCAGTTACTGATATAACAATATTCAATCAAAGTTAGCCAAAGACACGAAGGGGTAAAACAGGCAACATGAAGACCCACTTCAGACCACAATTATTTTGGAGTTTTTGAAATTCAATTTGTCAGTGTGCTACCAGGTGTGTAAAAGAGGATACATTTATAAAGCATTTGTTAAGTTTGATGTAAATTGGTTGAAAGATCAATGAAAAATAAGAAAGAAACCAGGAAAAACTGCCATTTTTACTATTTATGCAGGTTTTCACTATATGGATGGATTCAGTTATCAAGTTAAATGACTGTTAAACAATCAACTTATTGTTGGATACAATTGAGTGAAGATTGTATTAGATTGCTTGAAAATTGTAGGAGTTCTTAGTTTAAAATTTGTGTTGAAATTGATTTTTCATTTTTCACAATTTTTTGCTATATGCAGTGGCATAGAAATAAAAATGAGGTATCGTTGATCTCCTCATGATGTAAGTAACCTCCATACCGAGTCTGAATAAAATCTATGGAAAAAAGTTGAATTTATCGAATTTTGATTGGCTTTATCGATTATTGATTTTCATTAAAAATGATCAATTTTTTACACTTAGAACCTATCTCTTACATTGTATAATGTATGTGTCAAGATAGTGGAGACAGATAACTACATAGACTAATGTGAATGGAAGAGCAAAGCTTCTTCTTTGTACCATATTCCTTCAGGCTGTTGGTGATCATGGCTCTCCACAATTTCCTGTTCTATGTAACTCTCATTAATTTTTTTTTGTTATCTGTCTACCATCTATTTACTCAAGTTCACAAAGTAGGTTATGCATTGTTTTCCTCCATTCCCCTTACCTTCAATCTGTCCTGTGGGTATCAGATTTTCCAAGCCCTTTTTCTTCATTATATGCTTTAAAAATTTCATCTACGTCTTCCTGATGTTAAGTATGTTTCCTTTTTATTTTCATTCTAACACTTTGTTGTTGCTCATGTTTGGTCTACAGTATACTCAATATCCTTCTGTAGAATCACATCTTCATTTGCTTGAAGTCTCCTCTTCATCTATGAGGAGATTATCCATCATTCAATGCAGTATAGGAGGACTGATATTACATAACAGTTCAGTACTCTTTTCTTTGTTTCTAAGGATATTTTTCTGTTTCTTAATGCTATGCTTAGCTTCAGAAATACCTCTTTGGCTATCCCAATGTGCCTTTCAATTTCAGTGTTGCACTTCCTATCTTCTGTTAGAACACTTCCCAGATAATAGCAAAACAGAAGACAATGAAAAAGGAAAAATTAGAGAAATGGAAAGAAGAAGGAAGAAAGAAGAAAAAAATGGATAAAAATATATATTCATACAAGTGTTATGAAAATCAAGAAAGTAGACAACATAAGAAAAAGAAAAGAAAAATAGAAATGATATAGCAATAGAATGAGAGAGGGGACAAGAAAGAAGAGAAGAGAAAGAGTAAGAAAAGAGATAGAAAAAGAAAGAAAAATGTCAGCAATGAAAGAGAAAGTTGAGAAAAGAGGAAGTAGGATGTTAAAATGAAAGCAGAAAGAAATTAATGTCTCTTTAGGATATAGGAAATCATGGCTCTCCACAGATTCTTTTTTCAAGTGCCATGTCTTCTTGGAAAGAGAGTGGAGTGTTTTCTCATTGCCTTCTCCACAGTTTGGAATTTAGAGTTTTTCTTTCTCTTAGAAGTTTTGCCAACCAATGCTAGAGAGCTTATTCTACACTGTTACTTTCTCCCTATCTGAAGGGAGATGAGGTGGATTCATATTTTTCTTAAGGGCATTGATCTGAAAGTAAAAGAACAGTGGAGAAGCCTGGAATGTGAATTTGCCTTGACAATTTCACTTTGCACTCTGGTAACTGTTGACTTAGTTGCCCATGCAAAAACATTTAGAGAAGTTTAAATTACAACAAAAGGCAAATGGATATTAACAATCCTCATAAAACATGTAAAGAAAAGAATTAGATATTTTATAAGTGAAGAAAAAGAAGAGAGAAGAAGGCATTATGATATAAAAAAAGAACAGGTTCAGTTGAAAAAGAAGAGGTTTAAAATAAAAAAAAGGATAAAGAAGTATAAACAGGATAAAGAATGAGAAAAAGGAGGATAAAGAAGTAAAAAAAGAAGGGATAGAAAAAAGAGAAATAAGGAGATGTAAAAAGAAAAATTAGATATGAAAGAAAAGACAAGGTGAAAAGAAAGAGGAAATAAAAAGAAAAAAGACAAGGAGAAAGTGGGAAGGAAGAAAAGTTAGGAGAAAAGATAAGTAAGAGAGAATAGAAGAAATGTAAGAGTTAGATGGAGAAAAAGAGAAAGAGAAATGAAAGACAGTAGAGCAAAGGAAGGTTAAAAGAATAATTGAAGGAGGAAAAAGGGTAGCAATGGGAAAGTGAAAGAAAAGAAAGAGAAATTAATATTAAAGCATTGTGTAGAGCACAGATAAAAGAAAGGGTAAAACACATGAAAAAGAAATGAATGAACCAAGAAAGATGAAATAATTCAGGAAGTTACAGAATGAAATTGTAAAAGAATTGAATGATTTGAGAGGGAATGAGTTAAAGAAATAATAGGGGAATATAACTAAAAAAAAGAGTGAAAGGAAGAATGGCCTGAAGAAGTTGGGGAAATTTACAAAAGAAAAAGGAAGTAATGGCTCGAATAATGTAACAGATGGACAAGAGGAAAATTTGGAATGAGGGAGGGATGAAGCAACCAAAAGAACTTATGAAAGAAAAAAAAATACAGATAAAATAAACTTAAAAACAAAGTAGAGAAAGAAAAAAAAATAGTGGTTGAAGTAACTGATCAGAAGAAGAAGGAAGAATAGTAAAACAAAGAGAGACTATAAAAAGAAATAAGACAAAAAAAGAATGAATGGAAAGAGAAGAGAGAAAAGAAATAATGCTATCAGAGAGAGAGAGAGAGAGAGAAAGAAAGAGTTGTTAAATAAAAGATTAAGTAAAAAAAACAAGAAATCTAAAAAAAAAGCAAAAAAAACCAAGATGGTGAAAAGAAAAATAGAATGAAAAAGAAAAAGAATGAGAAGGGAAGATAGATTACAACATTTTTAAAAAAATTGAAAAAGTCAAAACAAAAGGGAAATTTAGATGAAAGAAAAATATTAAAAAAAAATGAAGAAAACAAAAAAAAAGGAGAAAAAATAGAAAGGTGAGAAAGAAAAGAAATAAAGCCAACAAAAAAACTTGTTTGAGAAAAAGAAACCTTGAAGAAGAAAGAAAAAGAATGCAAGATGGAGAAAACAAAGAATGAAGCAAAGTAACTAAAAGAAGAAGAAGAAAGGTATGAAAGAAAAGGAAAAGGAATGAGAGGACATGCTAATAAAATACACTTTTAAAAAATTGAAAAATATCAAAAAAGAAAGGAGAAAGTAGATGAAGGAGGCACAAGAAGAATGAAGAAAGAAAAGAGAAAAAATATAAAAGGTAATGAAACAAAGAAGAAAGAAACAAAATAAACTTAACAGATAGAGTTGTCCAATGAAAGATTCTTAAGTAATAATGAAAAAAAATAAAGAAGGCATGAAAACAAAAGTAAAAGAAAGCAAGATGGTGAAAAAGAAAAGAGACCAGGAGAGGCAAAAAAGAAGTTATGGGAGAAAAAGAAAAAAGATGAGAGGGCAAAATGGATAAAATAAACTTAGGCCAGAAAGAAAGAAAGAAAAAAAAAGAGAAAAGAAAGGAATTATATGTAAAACAAAAAGAGAAATAAAACAAAAGAAAGAGACAAAAAGAAAAAGAAATAGAAAGCTAATGGTAAAGGTTCAGTGATTTGTCAAGAAGAGGTTTACAAGCAATGCATCTGCACCTGTAAGGCATAAAATGATAACTAAAGGAGTTGCAGCTGCACTTGGAAGACATAGCAACAGCTGTGTTCTCTCAAGCATCTCTTCTTGGCTTTGTGGGGTAAGCTTAAGTGTGGGATGTGAGCGAGGTGCAAATGTGTACTGGTATTGAAAAATGGATGTATATATTTTGCATGTAAGTTTTTTCTTAAATTTCTTGGTTTACTTACACCTTTTTATCTTTTATTTTTTAATGTAGACAAATGAAATTTGATTAAAGGGAAAAAGGATACAAAGAAGAACAAAATGAATGAAGAAAGAAAAACAAGACAAAGAGACAGAAGATGGACAAAGGAAAAAAGACAAAGAAGAGATTTAGATAAAGAAGTGGGGGTAATTGAAGACAGGGAAGAAGCAAAAACCAAAAGTGTCAAAAGAAAAAAAAATAGATATAAAGAAATAAGGATGAGAAATAAGAGTTTTAGACAAAGAAGGGCTATGTGAGTATATGAGGGAAAAAAATTGAAAGGAAGGTGAACAAAAGAAGAAAAAAAGATGCTGCCAGATAGAAATGATTTGGACAAAAAGAATGTGGAAAAGAACAAAGAAGGTTTCAATGGAAGGTGGACAAAAGAAAGAAATAAAGAAAACTCTGAAAAAGAGATAAATCTAAAAGAGCTTTGAAAAAAATGAAGTTAAAAGAAGCCTGAAAAAGAGAAAAAAAAATGTAAAGCAAAAGAAAGCAGGAAAGAAAGAAAAAGAGAGTCCTGAAAAAGAAGAAAAATCTCAAAGAAAGAGTTCTGAAAAATGTTTTGAAAGGAAGAAATAGTTCTGAAAAAAAAATCTGAAAGAATGAAAGAAAAAAGAAAGAGCTCTGAAAAAAAGAAAAAAAAATGAAAAAAAACCTTGAAAAAAAAAGAACTAAAAAAAATTGAAAGAAAGAATGAAGGAAAGAAGACAAGAGAGAAAAAAGAAAACACTCTGAAAGAAAGGACACTAAAGAGAAAAAAATCTGAAAGAATTCAAACAAAAGAAATCTGATAGAATGAAAGAAAGAAGAAAAAAGAAAAAAAAAACGAGTTCTGAAAGGAAAAACACTAAAAAAAAAAGAAAAATGAAAGAGAACAATGGCACTAAAAAAAAGGAAGCAGAAAAAAATGAAAGAGAATGTAAGAAAAAGGGATAAAAAAAATCAAATTTGAAATGTAAATAAAGTGATAGTAAAATTGATAAAAGATTCCATGTAAAATAAAGTGGGTGATTAAAAAAGTAGCAGATCGACAATAATCTGTAAATGATGTCCATTGATGGGTTGAAACCCAAATTGGTAACCAAAGGAATTGTGAAATTTGACCAGCAATAATATAATCAACTCATGAAAGAGCTTCTTAATATTTCAACCAAGTATTTAATCATGAATTAATTGCATCACTAGAATGAGAAATTAACATTTCTAATAAGGGTCATGAGACAAATATATGTCTTTTCACCAGACTATTACAGCAAGGAAATTGTGAGAGAACTAGAAAGCCTGTTGGGTTTTGTTAATGGTGGACACAGTCTTAACATCATAAGATATGCAGATGACAGTGATGATGGCAGACATAGTCAAGAAACTGCAAAAACAACTCAAGAAGGGAGGTAAAGGAATTTGAAAACAATGAACTAACCATTAATTGTATGAAGACAGAATGCATGGTTGTCATAAACAGGAACATCCCAAGATGCAAACTATGAATCAGAGATGCCAAAATCATGCAAGTATGAAAATTTAAATATCTGGGAAGTATTTTAACAGTGGACGGAAAATATACAAAGGCACATTGGAATAGTGAAAGATGAATCCCAAAAGTTAATCAAAGTATGAAGAAACAGGAAGTTTTCATGAGTAACAAAAAAAAAAAGAGTGCTGAACTGTTATTACTCTTTGCTGATTATGAATGCTGGAAAATTTCCTCAGAGATAAAGAGGAGAGTTGAGGCAATAAAAATATGGCTATACAGATGAATCTTGAGAATATCATGGACTGAACAGGTGAATAACAAGGAAGTTTTAAGTAAAATGGAAACAAAAAGAACACTTATACTTAGAATCAGGAGGCATGGTAGAGTAATAGATAGTGGCTCAGATTGAGGAATTAGATAGCTGAGTTTGAACAAGTTGAATCCATTAGATTCACTTATGTGCTAATACTCTTGGGAAAGGTATGAATCGTCATCTTCTACCTGACCCTGCTGTGTGTAAATAGCAGAACAGACCGAATTCTATAGCCTAAGGGAAAGTAGCAGTTATCAAGCTTGCCAAAAAGACCTCAAGAACAAAGAAAAGATATGCATTTATCTAAGCAATGATCTATAGTGCTCAATGGCTCAAGAAATCACTAAGTCAGAGCTGTAATGACAACAAACACCAAAAAGCTCTCAGAGACTCTGATCTGCAATTGTAATCTCCAAGTTTCATTCCAAGGCAATCTTTATCATTTAAAGTGTGTTGCTATATATATATATATATATAAATGTTTATATATCAAAAAGAGTTTAGGAGGAAAAGTGCATGAAAAAGTGGAAAAAGTTTTCATGTCACATGTTTCATCCCTTAGGATTTCATTGAACTGGTATGCGTAGTCACATCAACATAAACGAACTTAGTTCAATGAAGTCCTAAGGGACAAATGATTCACACAAAAACTTTTTCCACTTTATCATATATATATATATATATATATATATATATATATAAATAAATATAGGTAACTATACTTGTCTTGAAAAACTTTCTAATTTTTGATTTGCCAATAATCAAATCAATCTTGAAGGAAAAAAAGATTTTAAAAAAAGAAAAAGCTATGAACATGAACGTCTGTCGAAAGAATCGCACAGATACAGGTTCAAAGCCCAAAGAAAAAACCCCGACACGAGTAAACAACTAACTAAAAAGAGCTCAATACAACCATAGAGAAGACCTAGTCAAACCTAGTGAGCCAGACAAACCTACCCAGGTTTCACCTAAGTGGATCGTCAGGAAAAGCTGTGTGTATATATATATATATATATATATATATATATATATATATATATATATATATACACACACAGATAGAGTAAAGTCCAGTAAGGCAGACAGCATATATTTCACTTAAAATGAAAATCCTAACCTACTCAAGTTTTTGCCTTTTGTGGAAAGAAGCAACATCTAACAAAAAAGGGGCTTCCTAGTATTTTATTCTGATTTACAGAAGACATTAAAGAAATATAGTTTATGAAAACATTCAGCTGAATCATAAAACAATTTGAAGTGTTTCATACATTTAGCCAGAAATAAATGTAATTCATTTTTAGTATTTTAATGACCACCACCAAGTCCAACAATAACAAGAAATCAATGAAGAACTGTAATGACCAAGAGATCTCCTTTAAAGAGACCTAAATGCAGGTCTTTTAGACAACAATTCATCCACTACTTTTCTATTAATATATATACACTCACGTGTGTGCATGTTTGTATGTGTGTGTGTATATATATATATATATATATATATATATATATGTATAGTAGGGCATGGTGGAAAAATGGTTAGTGGCTCAGATTGAGGAATTGGAGAGCCAAGTTCAAATTCCAGTTGGATCCATTATATTCAATTATGTGCTAAAATCATTTGGAAAGGTGTGAATCCTCTTCTCCCTCCAGCTATGAGTAAATAGCAAGACAGACTGCATTCTATAACCTTGGAAGGCAAATTGTCTAGGAGAAGTAATTCTGTATTCAATAACCAGCCTGGCAAGGATTGGGCTCTGTCAGGTGATCTTGCCCAAGAAACAACATTTTTACTGCAACTCTAGTACATGTAGTGCCCCTGATGGGTTATGGGATTTGTGATTGCAACATATATATATATATATATATATATATATATGAAAAAAGACAAAAAAAAAACTAATCTTTACCAGCTCCTAGAGGCCATAGACTAACATATCATACCATTTTGGAATCAGGCCGACTGTGAGCAAATTAAAACCATTCCAGGCCAGATCCAGACCTGCAATCCTGAAATTTTGGATGCCCAAGTTTTTATTACTGTGATTGTTTTCAGCAATTTTTTAATGTGATTTTTTGCAACATTTTTTTTTATATAATAACAAGTTTTATAACTTAGAAGTAAATTTGCAAATAATTCAAATTAATTGTGAAATCCAACCAAAGTCACCCAAGAAATAAAAAATAATTGTTTGTAGACAAAATAAAGACCAACATACATCTAATGGTCTTTAAATTAAGTGATGACAGAAGAATAATCATTGAACTTTTAAAATGTAAGCTTAAATATTAATACAATACTTAAATGCAGCAATCAATTTTGAGTTCATCTGTAGTTTATTGTTGCCTATTGCATATGCCAGCACTATAATTCACAAAATAAAATCTCTACCATCAGAGAACCAGATCTAATCAAATAAGCATAGAAAAGAAACTCCCATGCAAATGAAAATCCAGATCAAACAGCAGCCAGGAGAGCTTCCAATATTGAGAATATTCAAAGACTTAGGAATTCTCAAAATCCTGAATAAGCTGAAGGCTTAATCAAGAACCCACTGCAGTAGCTAGTTTCAATACTGCCAGTAGGACAGCTTTTAAGCTAGTATTTAATATAGTTGTTACCAATATTGTCAAAACATGCAAAACCATTCCACCCATGGCACAATATTTAATTTGAAATGGAACATGCTTGTATATAGTTAACAAACACCCACCTACAAAATTGACTATATTTACTTCCTCATGACAGAGACAAACAAAAGTACTAACAAAAAAAGAAACTGACTAAAAACATGAACATTGAATAGTTTATCCATGATTTTAATCCAGCTGTGCATTGGAAAATTGCAATGAATAATTAAGCGACAGACATTATCAGTTGTATTTAATACAAGTCGTCTTTTGTATAAAGAAAGTGAGCGAAACATGGATTGATTGTTATTTAAATCCAAAACATATTTTGGATTATAGGAATAATTTTTTTGAGGGATAATGACTAAGAATAATCAAAACATTATCCAATAAACATTTTGAAGATAACAATAATTTTTCTAGATACAAGTTCTACTTTTTAATCGATAGCTGGGAGAGGAGAGATGGATTCTTAACTTTTGCAAGAGTGAATTGAATCTCTTGAGTAAAAACTTGTTTCAAGGACTATGATGTGGTCTAATTTTTGACTAAATGCATTTTTAACATAAAGGAAAATATGCAAAAATTCTTGCTTAATTTTCTTGTTTTAGTGAGAAAAGTGATGCTTAGGCAGAATAGGAACAATGTTACTTAGAGTAACAAAAGACAGAAGTTGTGGAACGCCATGATTGCATAAATTATAAAAGGCCTTGGCACACAAAAGAAAAACTGTATATAATAATCAAATTGATGGTTTTGGACAGTAAATAAATATTTCAGTAATGATTTGTGAACATTTTGCTGAGGACAAAATTTAAAATCAAAATTGTTTGCTCACTTAAAATACTGCATTTACTGGAAAATATATTTAGTTTAAATAGAGGAGAAATGATTAAAACGATTTCTAAGTGCAACAGATTCAAGCTTATACTCTTTTCCTGTTACTCAAGGATTGTTGCCAGACAAAAAGATAAATTAGCCCTTGTGACATTTCAGTTTATTTCAAACAGTGTGGCTAAGTATGTTTGAATATGCAAACATATATTTTAATTCAATGAGAGAATTAAAAATATCACTAAAAAATTTTTTCAAAGTTTAAATATCTATTATTGAATAATTTCTGCGAAGTTTGGTAAAATCTTATAATTTTCTGATGTTTTTAGGGCTTAAAAAAATTAATGATTTTTTCTGTCTCCAGCATTACACTTTTATTGCCCAACCAAGGGTAGAGGCTGTTCAGACTGAGTGATAGGGGAATGTATTATTTGAAACTCAGTCACATTGTCTATGTATATCTGTGTGCACATGTTCATTAAATGTCACAAACACATGTAAATAACTCATGCACAACACGCAGACATATGCATATACATTACATACATGTATACAAAATCACATACAGACAGTATGTGTGATGGACAGAGAATCAGCTCTTCTTTTATGATTTTATAGATTTTGGTTATCTTCCAGTTTTATTTATTTGTAATTTGTCTAACAGATGATGATATCCCAATTGACCATTGCAATTCAATCTTTCAGCTGATGATAGAGAGGGTGATGATGATATGAGAATGGTAGTGTTTGTGTGTTTGTATGTTTCTCTGTCACAGAGAAAGAGATAGAAAAAGTAGTTTTTGCGTGCACATGACTAAAAGCTAGACAAAAGTACTTTTGGTGGAATGTGTATATAAACTGTTATTTTGACAAAATGCCATAAAAGGAACAAAACTCTTTATTGACATTTCCCATATATATATATATATATATATATATATATATATATATATATATATATATATATATATATATATGATCAAAGAGAACAGATATTTTGTGTTGATTAATTTTAATGATTAACTTTTCCAAATCACAAATAATCTTTCTAAGACAAGGAGGGAATTCTGTCAGAAATTGGGCAAAGTTCATTTTGGAAGAAAAGCACAAAAAATATGATTCAAGCTTTTGACTTTGGTCAGTTTTTTAGAACTAGTGATGTCATAACACTATGAAACTCACCAATGGTTTCTACCTACACTGATGGTGATCAAAGAAAGTCAAAAGCTTGGACGATTGTTCTTGTACTTTTCATCTAAAATGAACTTAGGATAATTTCTGATGGAATTTCCTTCTTGTCTGAGAAGGATTATCCATAATTTGGAAAAGTCGATTATTAAAATTAATCAAAACAAAATATTTTTTTCTTTAATAATATTTGTCTTAAAAACATTTGCTACCTAAATACACAATAATATATATATATATATATATATATATATATATATATATTTTAAGCATGTTTCATTGAATAATATAGACATGTTATGTTTATTTATTTTTATAATAATCTTTTCTAGTTCTCAAATTAGCTTCTTCATGTTAAGTTGAAATTCATCAAGGTGTCATAGTTTTTGTTAACCCAAGTACTTTGGATCTCCTCTAAGATCATTCTCAGGGGGTGAATTGTGAAGACAAACTTAGTTTAACTGTGATCGCTATGATCGTGATTTTTCAAAACATATGTGAATGTGTTCTTTTATAAATATTTCAAAATTTTAAATTCATCTGATCACCAATATCTTATTCAATGAAACATGCTTGAATGAAGATATGCTGCGTATATATATATATATATATATGCTGAACTCTCTCCTCGTATTGGACTTTTGAGGATCAAGCAACTCAGTTCCTAGAAACTGACTGCCAGACACCTGCACATATGATTTGATTATAGTGGTGAAGTTTTTGTGCAGAACTAACCACTCTTTTTGAAGAGCCAAAACAGAGACCTTGTGCACTAAGTGCTACAATGTTCCCAAATGACCCTCTGCAGGTTTTGAATTCAGAGTTATCCTTTTCCTAGACCAATTGCCATCCAAGGCTATAGAACCCAGTCTGTCCTGCTATTTACCCATAGCTGGGGGAAGAAGAAGAGGATTCATGCCTTTCCAAAGGTTATTAGCACATAACTAAATGTAATGGATTCAAATGGAATTTGAACTTGGCTCTCCGATTCTTCAATCCAACCTGCTATCCATTACTCCACCATATTTCCTCATATATATTATATATGTGTGTGTGTGTGTGTGTGTGTGTGTGTGTGTTCTATGAGTATTAGATTTGACAGGCCTCCTTTTCATATTATACATATGTCCTTGAAATTTCAACAGTCTCTTTCTAATTCTAAGTAAAAGCATAATTTTGCTTCCATATTTCTTAAAACTTTGTTGTTGCTCACATATATTCAATTTATGGGATTCTCAGCATCCTTCTGTAGAATATTTCTGTTGTCTCAAACTTAACTGCTATAGAGAACTGATATTACACAACAGTTCAGTACCTTTTTCTTTGTTTCAAATAAATAATTTTTCTCTGTCTTAATACTTTGCTTAGCTTGCAGAGAACATCTTTTGCAATTCCACTATACCTTTGGAACTGAATTTTACATTTCCCATCCTCTGTTAGAATACTTCTCAAATTTTTTAAATTTACAAATGTACTTGATAAATTTACCAAATAAAAGTATGATAAACTACTCAAACTTAAATTCAAACATATTTCACATAATATTTTGTAGCATATAAGCTTGTCCCATCCAGCAATGTGCACACATTAGAAATCATTTGAACCTAAATTTGAACAATGTGTCTGGTATTTCTTTTGGTAAGTCTGAAATCTCTAAGCAGTATTCATGCCATGTTATTTTGGGGTATAGGTTATCACGGCTTTCCACAGACATCTTTTTCTTTATATGCAAATTACCATTATTTCTTGAGGAGTGGTTTTCTGCTGTCTTCTCCATGGTTTTGAATAGTGTTGTTCTCCTAGACTGGCTGAATCTAAGGCCAGAGAGCCAAGTCTGGTGGAAAAAAAAACAACAAAAAAGTGAACCGGATATTAAAGTTTATTAAAAGAACTTGATAGAATAACATAATGCTTTTAAGAGATCTTATAATGATTGATTTTTTATTTTATTTATAACTTTCTTTTATTTATGATTGTTTTATGGCAATTATTATTGTTCACTCCTTATTTTACATTGTTTCTTTATTTTTTCTTTATATCTTTCTTCTTCTTCTTCTTTCTTTTTTACTTTTTCTCTTTCTGTCATTCATTAATTTTCCCTAGTCTTTCTTTTTTTTTACTTTTTTCTTTCTGTCTTTCATTAATTTTCACTAGTCTTTCTTTTTTTTTTATTTTTTCTCTTTCTGTCTTTCATCAGTTTTCCTAGCTTTTCTTTCTTTTTTTTTTACTTTTTTCTCTTTCACTAGTTTTTAATTTTTTTTTAATACTAAAATTCACTCAATACAAGGCTCAAGAGCCACTCTCTGTAGAAGGTTACAGTTTAAATGATAATGATGAATGACGTGTATGATAGGAATGAAAAAGAAAGTGGAGGAGGAAAGATAAAGAAAATTTGAAGAGAAGAGCTGGTATCATCAAAAGATATCCGACATCGAATATTACAAAAGTTTCAATAACAGACATGAGCCCTTGAGAAATGGTTTGTTGTCCCTTGAAATAAATGCTCAGAATTGAATGACCATAATTTTTTTAATGTAATTATTTAAAACACAAGGCAAGGCAGAAGGGATAATGACTAAGAATAATCAAAACATTATCCAATATATATATATATATATATATATATATATATCAAAAGATATATCCATCAGTCTGTTCCACAAAGTGACATTCTTGGGAAAATCTGAGTTGATTCTCCTTACATTTGGAACACAGTGGCAATGGGCTCAAGTTGACACTGTGAAAGTGACATATGTCTTAGATTTAAAGATCTGAGTTGGTGGTAGTAAAGAATGGGGTTCAACTAAACATTTGCCATGGAACTAGGGATCAAGTAGTGATAGGCTTGCAATGTTGGGGCAAAAAGCTGAAGAGTGGTTTCTTCCACCATGAGATCAAAACATGCTTTATAAAACACTAGTTAGCAAGCTCAGCTTGTTGACAATCACTTTGGTTACGAGTATGATCCTCACTAGGTGGCCCATATTAAGCTAAAGGTTAATAAACATTTCATTTTTTTCTGTTCTTTTTATTTTAATATATTTTACGATTTGTTTCTTTCACAGATATATTCTACTTTCCTTCATTCTTATTTTCTCACATTTTTCTTTCATTGTATTTTGGTTGTTTTCATTCATTCTTCTTTGATCTCTTCTTTGCATGCACATTTTATGCATGAACATGAATACACATGAATACACACACACACACACACACACACACACACACACACATATATATATATATATATATATATATATATATATATATACACACACATATGAATACACATAAATACAGATGCAGGAATATAATATATATATATATATATATATATATATATATATATATATATATATAAACATGAATACACATAAACACACACACACATATATCATATTTTGTACACATGTAGTAGTTGGAGAAACACGGGTCGAGAGGATTTCCCATACTAACACCATTGGGTATAGATATTGCCATTATGGTTGTATGTCCCTTTCTATGACCATATTAGCAATATATACACCCAAAATAATGGTCTTAGGATGAAAAATCCTCTCAGCCTGTCTTCTACAATATATATATATATATATATATATATATATATATATATATATATATATATTGTTTATTTTCCTTGTCAGTTTTTAATTCTCTTTTCTTAT